TGGATGAATAATGTGTGCTGGTTCAATAAAGCCTCCTTAAACGACTCTTGCCCGTGTTTTGTGCTTGTTTTATGGGTAAAATCCTGTTCTTCCGTGAGAACCAGGAACGGTTAAAGGGCTGATGCGGAGCTACTCATCCCCGCAGTGGCTCCACATCCCCGGGTACAGAGAACCAGGATGGCAGCCTCTCTGAGAACCAGGGCCTGCTGCGGAGCTACTCACCCCAGCCGTGGCTCCACATCCCCGGGTAACAGAGAACCAGGATGGCAGCCTCTCTGAGAACAAGGGCCTGCTGCGGAGCTACTCACCCAGCCGTGGCTCCACATCCCCGGGTAACAGAGAACCAGGATGGCAGCCTCTCTGAGAACCAGGGCCTGCTGCGGAGCTACTCATCCCCGCCGTGGCTCCACATCCCCGGGTGACAGAGAACCGGGACAGCGGCCTCTGTGAAAGATTTGTACATATGGTATGGCTGCTGCTGCTCCGGATGCATCTCCGGGCATCTCCGGGCCGATTCTCCAGCCTGCTGCTCGGCTGCATCTCTCCGGCCGCATCCCCGGGCCGATTCTCCAGCCTGCTGCTCGGGGCTGCATCTCCGGCCGCATCCCCGGCCGATTCTCCAGCCTGCTGCTCGGGGCTGCATCTCCGGCATCTCCGGCCGCATCCCCGGGCCGATTCTCCAGCCTGCTGCTCGGACATCCATGCTGTTGGCAGATCTGGTGCATGGGACATGCCCTGGAGCGGTCCACGGCCGAAGGCACGCTCATATTCAGGGCTAGGTGGTCTTACAAAACCTTCTGTTGTAATCCTGCCGGGGGCTTTGGACATCTGTGTGCTCAAAGTGCTATTTTCCCCGATTGGGCAGGGGCTTAAGCGCGTGTCGAGGGTGGCCGATGCTTGTACACCTGGAAAGCCATTTTTCATTTCTCCCGGCTCCTGTGAGCGTGCTAAAAATCATTCGACCGCACAGGGCTGTGCTCCGGAACACGGGCTACCGGCCCGTGGTGCGTTTTTCCCGGATTTCGGCCTTTTTGACCGGTTTTCGAACGCTTTTCCGGCGCGACTTCCGCCGCTTGCCCCGCAGCGGGGGAACCGCGTAGAGACGCGACACCCACGCCGAATTGTTCTCCTGGCTTAGGCCTTCACGGGATATATGGCTTCCCCGGGTTGAAAGCGTTTTCACCCGCTCTACCGGAAGTTGAAGTTGACCGGGCGGAAAAACGGCACTCTTTCGCGGCTTAAAAATCGAGAAGCCGCGGAAACGGCAGGACCCGCGCCGAATTGTTCTCCTCAGCGAGACCTTTAAAAGCATGTATGGCTTGCCCGGATGGAATTCATTTTTACCCGCTTTTCCGCAAGTTGAAGTTGACCGTGCGGCCAAAAGAGGCTCTTCCCAGGTATGGCTGCAGAGCCCCGGGTGACAAACAACCGTGGCTGTGGTTCCTGGTTCTCAGAGAGGCTGCAGTCCTGGTTCTGTGTTACCCAGTCACACACACAGTGACCCGGGTAACACAGAACCAGGACTGCAGCCTCTCTGAGAACCAGGAACACCAGCCTAAATACTTACCCCATCCAAATACTTACCTGAAACCAGGCCTGGAGCTCAAGTACACTGCAGTTGACCTCTGGCCTCAGCCAGGGAACAACCAGGACTTGCTAAACTGTCTTTAATTCTACCCAGGAGAGAGAACCAGGGCCCTGGGAGGAGAGGAGCAGGACCAACAGCCAAAATACTTACCTGAAACCAGGCCTGGAGCTCAAGTACACTGCAGTTGACCTCTGGCCTCAGCCAGGGAACAACCAGGACTTGCTAAACTGTCTTTAATTCTACCCAGGAGAGAGAACCAGGGCCCTGGGGAGGAGAGGAGCAGGACCAACAGCCAAAATACTTACCTGAAACCAGGCCTGGAGCTCAAGTACACTGCAGTTGACCTCTGGCCTCAGCCAGGGAACAACCAGGACTTGCTAAACTGTCTTTAATTCTACCCAGGAGAGAGAACCAGGGCCCTGGGGAGGAGGAGCAGGACCAACAGCCAAAATACTTACCTGAAACCAGGCCTGGAGCTCAAGTACACTGCAGTTGACCTCTGGCCTCAGCCAGGGAACAACCAGGACTTGCTAAACTGTCTTTAATTCTACCCAGGAGAGAACCAGGGCCCTGGGAGGAGAGGAGCAGGACCAACAGCCAAAATACTTACCTGAAACCAGGCCTGGAGCTCAAGTACACTGCAGTTGACCTCTGGCCTCAGCCAGGGAACAACCAGGACTTGCTAAACTGTCTTTAATTCTACCCAGGAGAGAGAACCAGGGCCCTGGGGAGGAGAGGAGCAGGACCAACAGCCAAAATACTTACCTGAAACCAGGCCTGGAGCTCAAGTACACTGCAGTTGACCTCTGGCCTCAGCCAGGGAACAACCAGGACTTGCTAAACTGTCTTTTCTACCCAGGAGAGAGAACCAGGGCCCTGGGTAACAGAACTGGGACAGCAGCCTCTCTGAGATCCAGGCCTGGAGCTCACCCAGTGAGAACCAGGAATCGGTAAAGTGTTTTTAATTCTACCCGGGACAGGGGACCAGAGCCCCGGGCAACTGAAGCGGGAGAGCAGCCTCTCTTAGAACCAGGCCTGGAGCTCACCGTGTGAGAGAACCAGGAATCGGTAAAGTGTTTTTAATTCTACCCGGGACAGGGGACCAGAGCCCCGGGTAACAGAGAACCGGGACGGCAGCCTCTCTGAGAACCAGGCCTGGAGCTCACCCAGTGAGAACCAGGAATCGTTAAAGTGTTTTTAATTCTACCCGGGACAGGGGACCAGAGCCCCGGGTAACTGAACTGACACAGCAGCCTCTCTGAGAACCAGGCCTGGAGCTCACCCAGTGAGAACCAGGAATCGGTAAAGTGTTTTTAATTCTACCCGGGACAGGGGACCAGAGCCCCGGGTAACAGAGAACCGGGACGAGCCTCTCTTAGAACCACCAGCCAAAATACTTACCCCAACAGTGGCTCCAAGTCCCCGGGTGACAAACAAACATGGTGGAGACCCTGGTTCTTAGACAGGCTGCAGTCCTGGTTCTGCGTAACCCAGGTCACACGCAGTGACCAGGGTAACACAGAACCAGGACCGCAGCCTATCTGAGAACCAGGCCCTCCATCACAACCACTTACCCCAGCCTTGGCTCCACATCCCCGGGTAACAGAGAACCGGGACCGCAGCCTCTCATACAACCAGGGCCTGCTGCGGAGCTACTTACCCCAGCCGTGGCTCCACATCCCCGGGTAACAGAGAACCAGGACCGCAGCCTCTCATACAACCAGGGCCTGCTGCGGAGCTACTTACCCCAGCCGTGGCTCCACATCCCCGGGTAACAGAGAACCAGGACCGCAGCCTCTCATACAACCAGGGCCTGCTGCGGAGCTACTTACCCCAGCCGTGGCTCCACATCCCCGGGTAACAGAGAACCGGGACCGCAGCCTCTCTGAGAACCAGGCCCTCCATCCGAACCTGCAGACCCACACTTAAGCCCCCTTCCACGGATTCAACCAACCAGTCACACGCCCAGCAGAGCCGTGCCCCTGGTAAGGGAAAATAAATAGAATTGTGGTCCTGGTAAGGCTCTGACACTTAGACTATCAGCCGGGGCTGCTGGACTTTGGTTATTTTCCTGACGCAGTGCCCCTGGTAAGGGAAAATAAATAGAATTGTGGTCCTGGTAAGGCTCTGACACTTAGACTATCAGCCAGGGCTGCTGGACTTTGGTTATTTTCCCGACGCAGTGCCCCTGGTAAGGCACTGGAGCTTCGGCTAAGGAGGGGCCTGCCCCCGTCGCCCGGTCCGCAAGCGGACCGGGCGACGGGGGCAGGAGGGTCTGTCCCTTCGGCCTGGCGAGCCGGCCCGGTTCAGCAGGATGGAGAACCGGGCCGGCTCGCCAGGCCGAAGGAACAGACCGGGGGAAGGGGCTGGACGGCCGGTCTGTCCCTTCAGCCTGGCGAGCAGGCCCGGTTCCGCAGGATGGAGAACCGGGCCGGCTAGCCAGGCCGAAGGGACAGACCGGGGGCGGGGGGAAAGGGGGGAGAGGCACGGACCGGGAGTGCGGACCGCGTGTCGGGCAGAGGTACCGGCGTCCCCGGCCGACAGAGACCCGTGGAGGCAGCCTCTGTCACCAGCGGGAGCTGCTGCAGCGCCGGGGACACCGCCGGCACCACGCAGCCCATTTGCGTGACCCAATGTTCGGGGTGCCTAACCCCACTTAGGGTCCTAAGAGGGCTGCCGCACTTGCGGCCGGGTGACCGCCGATTCGGACGCCGTGGAGGGCGGCACCGCAGATGCGGGGGCCGCCTGCTGGAAGGGACCGCCAATCCAGTCCCTGGATCCATCCCGGCTCTTGGGGCGGACTCTGCGCCCCGCCCGGCCGCAGGTGCGCTGCGGCCCGATTGCCCGCAGCTGCACCGCATCAGGCCTGATTAGGACGCCGGCTACTTGGCCAGGGGCATGTGCTCGCCGGCCTCAGTCGGAGTTTTGCAGCAGCAGGGTGAGGAGCAACATGACCGCGTCCAAGTTCGTGAACCGATGTCCCGTGTGCTCACGCAAGTCCTGGCGGCTGCGTGAGCACCTGGACGAGAAGCACAAGGTTAGGAATCCGGTGGAGCGTCGTGTCCTCCTGGCGTTCGCCAGGGGCCGGTGAACGTCAAGGGGATGCCGTGTCCGGTGCAGCGCTGCGGGTACGACGGCCGCCGTGTGCAGCAGCACCTGCAGGAGTCCCACCGCGACATGGGTCAGCGGCAGAAGCGGCGTCTTCTGGCCGGCCTGCAGTGGCAGAAGACGCTGGAGAAGCTGCGGCAGCTGAGGCGCTCGGACCCCCACCACCCATGGCTACCGGGCTGGACCTGCCGGAGGCAGGCGACAGGGCCCCGGCAGAGGCGGAGGCGGAGGTTCGGCCATCCCGCAGCTCACCTCCGCAACGCAGACCGGTGGTGGAGGATGAGGAGGAAGAGCAGGACGACGAGGAGGACATGCAGGCGGAGGACCAGGGGGCGCAGGAGGAGCCGGAGGAGCCTGAGCTGATGGAGGTAGACCACCACCACCACGACGGGGGCTCAGCTCCACCATCGCCGGGACCACCCTTGCCTCCCAGCCCCGACGAGCCACGTTCCCCGGAGCGGGGGAACCAGCAGGACCAGCAGGACCCGCAGGAGGGCGGATCCAGACGGCAGAGCCCGACCTCGACCACGCCTGCGGACCCCACAGAGCCCACCGAGCCCACCGAGCCCACAGAACCGGTGCGTACAACCTTCCACTTTCCTGAGTGTGTCATGCAGTATTTGGCCGGGTACAGGAGGCACCTGGTGGGTGCCCTCCCGTCGAAGAAGCATGTGGAGAACGCCAGGTCCAAGATGGGCAGAGTGGACCAGTTCCTGCGCAGGATGGCCGAGGGAAAGAGCGGCCTGGAGACCTGGCGGTTCATGGTTGATGCCGACAGGGTCCTCGGCTGGCCGGCGGACCTGCTCAAGCAGGGCAAGCAGATAACGACAGTGAAGGTGTACCTGGTCAACACGGGTCAGTTCCTGACCTACTTCACGGAGACTCCGCCTGAGACCTCCACCGTGCCCCAGCATGGACTCGTCTCCGTCTCGCGGGCCCTGAAATCCGCCGCGGGGCAGATCTCAACCACGGTGGTGCTGCACCAGATACAGGTCAAAGACCAGAAGGAGAAACGCACTGTTTCAGCGCCGTTCTGCGCAGGTGTCTGGAGGAGTGTCGCAGATGGATCCCGGAGCTTTTGCGCGACTCATCGCGGAGGAGGCACGACGTGGTCCTGCGATACCAGCTATTCGGTTGCTTCGCGCTGTTGGTCGCTTCTCTGTACGGCCACAGAGCAGGCGTGGTCCGCAACATGACAGCTGCTGAGGTACGAGAAGCCGAGGATGGACACCGGCGCGACTCCTCCGGCTATGTCATTAACGTAAGTGCCCCGTCCCAGCGAGCACTTCATCCCGGAGGCAGAACCAGGGGCCCTGGTAGCAGAGAACCGTGACTGCAGCCTCTCGGTTGAACCCATCAACCGAGAGGCTGCAGTCACGGGCCTCTGCGAACCAGGACCTCCAGCCCAACAACTTACCTTCCTTCCCCAGCAGAGAGCTCCACATTCCAGGTCAGAAACTCACCTCTGCTGTCCTCGTCTGTCTGTCCCTCCATCCCGCAGGTGAGACAACACAAGACGGCCAGGGCTTTCGGGAGCGCCCAGCTCTTCCTGACGCCGGAGGAGTTTCGGATGGCTAAAGAGCTGGATGACCATACGCAGCAAGCTGCGCCCCCAGACCGACCTGGTGTTTTTCAACTGCAACGGAGGACCGGTACACAAGCTGACCTCCTTCGCCCGGGACGCATGGGCGAGGATGCGCCTGCCTGGATCCCCCTCCCTGACCGACATACGCACCGCGGTAGCCACGATGGTAGGTAGACCTGAGCTTCGTCCCCAGCCTTGAGCTTTCTCCACGGTCCCTCTCACTCTCTCTCTCTCTCTCTCTTCACAGGCGAGGGACACCCAGTGCACGGAGGTCCGAAGGCAGATGTCACACTTGATGTGTCACGACACCAGAACCGCGGACCGTTTCTACGCGATGCAGCTGAGTGTGACCCAGTTGGCCGCCATGCGCAGGACCTTCGACGTGTCCAGGGGCGACGCTGAGCAGACTGTGGATGAATAATGTGTGCTGGTTCAATAAAGCCTCCTTAAACGACTCTTGCCCGTGTTTTGTGCTTGTTTTATGGGTAAAATCCTGTTCTTCCGTGAGAACCAGGAACGGTTAAAGGGGCTGATGCGGAGCTACTCATCCCCGCAGTGGCTCCACATCCCCGGGTAACAGAGAACCAGGATGGCAGCCTCTCTGAGAACCAGGGCCTGCTGCGGAGCTACTCACCCCAGCCGTGGCTCCACATCCCCGGGTAACAGAGAACCAGGATGGCAGCCTCTCTGAGAACCAGGGCCTGCTGCGGAGCTACTCACCCCAGCCGTGGCTCCACATCCCCGGGTAACAGAGAACCAGGATGGCAGCCTCTCTGAGAACCAGGGCCTGCTGCGGAGCTACTCATCCCCGCCGTGGCTCCACATCCCCGGGTGACAGAGAACCGGGACAGCGGCCTCTGTGAAAGATTGTACATATGGTATGGCTGCTGCTGCTCCGGGATGCATCTCCGGGCATCTCCGGCCGCATCCCCGGGCCGATTCTCCAGCCTGCTGCTCGGGGCTGCATCTCCGGCCGCATCCCCGGGCCGATTCTCCAGCCTGCTGCTCGGGGCTGCATCTCCGGCCGCATCCCGGGCCGATTCTCCAGCCTGCTGCTCGGGGCTGCATCTCCGGGCATCTCCGGCCGCATCCCCGGGCCGATTCTCCAGCCTGCTGCTCGGACATCCATGCTGTTGGCAGATCTGGTGCATGGGACATGCCCTGGAGCGGTCCACGGCCGAAGGCACGCTCATATTCAGGGCTAGGTGGTCTTACAAACCTTCTGTTGTAATCCTGCCGGCGGGGCTTTGGACATCTGTGTGCTCAAAGTGCTATTTTCCCCGATTGGGCAGGGGCTTAAGCGCGTGTCGAGGGTGGCCGATGCTTTGTACACCTGGAAAGCCATTTTTTCATTTCTCCCGGCTCCTGTGACGTGCTAAAAATCATTCGACCGCACAGGGCTGTGCTCCGGAACACGGGCTACCGGCCCGTGGTGCGTTTTTCCCGGATTTCGGCCTTTTTGACCGGTTTTCGAACGCTTTTCCGGCGCGACTTCCGCCGCTTGCCCCGCAGCGGGGGAACCGCGTAGAGACGCGACACCCACGCCGAATTGTTCTCCTGGCTTAGGCCTTCACGGGGATATATGGCTTCCCCGGGTTGAAAGCGTTTTCACCCGCTCTACCGGAAGTTGAAGTTGACCGGGCGGAAAAACGGCACTCTTTCGCGGCTTAAAAATCGAGGAAGCCGCGGAAACGGGCAGGACCCGCGCCGAATTGTTCTCCTCAGCGAGACCTTTAAAAGCATGTATGGCTTGCCCGGATGGAATTCATTTTTACCCGCTTTTCCGCAAGTTGAAGTTGACCGTGCGGCCAAAAGAGGCTCTTCCCAGGTATGGCTGCAGAGCCCGGGTGACAAACAACCGTGGCTGTGGTTCCTGGTTCTCAGAGGCTGCAGTCCTGGTTCTGTTACCCAGGTCACACACACAGTGACCCGGGTAACACAGAACCAGGACTGCAGCCTCTCTGACCAGGAACACCAGCCTAAATACTTACCCCATCCAAAATACTTACCTGAAACCAGGCCTGGAGCTCAAGTACACTGCAGTTGACCTCTGGCCTCAGCCAGGGAACAACCAGGACTTGCTAAACTGTCTTTAATTCTACCCAGGAGAGAGAACCAGGGCCCTGGAAGAGGAGCAGGACCAACAGCCAAAATACTTACCTGAAACCAGGCCTGGAGCTCAAGTACACTGCAGTTGACCTCTGGCCTCAGCCAGGGAACAACCAGGACTTGCTAAACTGTCTTTAATTCTACCCAGGAGAGAGAACCAGGGCCCTGGGAGGAGAGGAGCAGGACCAACAGCCAAAATACTTACCTGAAACCAGGCCTGGAGCTCAAGTACACTGCAGTTGACCTCTGGCCTCAGCCAGGGAACAACCAGGACTTGCTAAACTGTCTTTAATTCTACCCAGGAGAGAGAACCAGGGCCCTGGGGAGGAGAGGAGCAGGACCAACAGCCAAAATACTTACCTGAAACCAGGCCTGGAGCTCAAGTACACTGCAGTTGACCTCTGGCCTCAGCCAGGGAACAACCAGGACTTGCTAAACTGTCTTTAATTCTACCCAGGAGAGAGAACCAGGGCCCTGGGGAGGAGAGGAGCAGGACCAACAGCCAAAATACTTACCTGAAACCAGGCCTGGAGCTCAAGTACACTGCAGTTGACCTCTGGCCTCAGCCAGGGAACAACCAGGACTTGCTAAACTGTCTTTAATTCTACCCAGGAGAGAGAACCAGGGCCCTGGGGAGGAGAGGAGCAGGACCAACAGCCAAAATACTTACCTGAAACCAGGCCTGGAGCTCAAGTACACTGCAGTTGACCTCTGGCCTCAGCCAGGGAACAACCAGGACTTGCTAAACTGTCTTTAATTCTACCCAGGAGAGAGAACCGGGGCCCTGGGGAGGAGAGGAGCAGGACCAACAGCCAAAATACTTACCTGAAACCAGGCCTGGAGCTCAAGTACACTGCAGTTGACCTCTGGCCTCAGCCAGGGAACAACCAGGACTTGCTAAGCTGTCTTTAATTCTACCCAGGAGAGAGAACCGGGCCCTGGGTAACAGAACTGGGACAGCAGCCTCTCTGAGAACCAGGCCTGGAGCTCACCCAGTGAGAACCAGGAATCGGTAAAGTGTTTTTAATTCTACCCGGACAACCAGGGCCCCGGGTAACTGAACTGGGACAGCAGCCTCTCTGAGAACCAGGCCTGGAGCTCACCCAGTGAGAACCAGGAATCGGTAAAGTGTTTTTAATTCTACCCGGACAGGGGACCAGGGCCCCGGGTAACTGAACTGGGACAGCAGCCTCTCTGAGAACCAGGCCTGGAGCTCACCCAGTGAGAACCAGGAATCGGTAAAGTGTTTTTAATTCTACCCGGGACAGGGGACCAGAGCCCCGGGTAACTGAACTGGGACAGCAGCCTCTCTGAGAACCAGGCCTGGAGCTCACCCAGTGAGAACCAGGAATCGGTAAGTGTTTTTAATTCTACCCGGGACAGGGGACCAGGGCCCCGGGTAACTGAACTGGGACAGCAGCCTCTCTGAGAACCAGGCCTGGAGCTCACCCAGTGAGAACCAGGAATCGGTAAAGTGTTTTTAATTCTACCCGGACAGGGGACCAGGCCCCGGGTAACTGAACTGACACAGCAGCCTCTCTGAGAACCAGGCCTGGAGCTCACCCAGTGAGAACCGGAATCGGTAAAGTGTTTTTAATTCTACCCGGGACAGGGGACCAGAGCCCCGGGTAACAGAGAACCGGGACGGCAGCCTCTCTTAGAACCACCAGCCAAAATACTTACCCCAGCAGTGGCTCCAAGTCCCCGGGTGACAAACAAACATGGTGGAGACCCTGGTTCTTAGACAGGCTGCAGTCCTGGTTCTGTGTAACCCAGGCCACACACGCAGTGACAAGGGTAACACAGAGACCAGGACCGCAGCCTATCTGAGAACCAGGCCCTCCACCACAACTACTTACCCCCAGCCTTGGCTCCACACCCCCGGGTAACACAGAACCACCAATCCAGCCTCTCTTAGAACCAGGCTCTCCATCCGAACATGCGTACCCACACTTAAGCCCCCTTCCACGGACTACACCAAACAGCCACACGCCCAGCAGAGTCGTGCCCCTGGTAAGACAAAAAAAGAGAAAAGACTTAGGCTTTTGCTCAGAGTTCGTGCAACTGGTAAGGTGGTGACACTTAGGCGAAATGCAGGGTGTGGGACTTAAGCCTTTTTAAGGGGTTTTGCGCCCCTGGTAAGGCGCTAGTACTTAGGAGAAATCCAGGGTGTAGGACTTAAGCCTTTTAAGGGGTTGTGCGCCCTGGTAAGGCTCTGTTACTTAGGAGAAATCCAAGGTGTAGGGCTTAAGTCTCTGTCTTCCACGCTCCGTGCCCCTGGTGCAGTCAAGGCGTACGAGCTCCGACGGGCGGAGAGGGGGGGCTCAGGTCTCCCCACGAAGGGGAGGCCCCGACCGGCCCAGGGGACCGGCCGGCCCCCTCTCCGCTCTGGAGCGTGGCGGATGGGACTTAGGCTCTGAGCAGAGCCGGGCGGCTCGTGCCTATGGTATGGTATAGATCAATAGGGAGGGAGGGGAGGCCCCGGAGGTCGGCCGACAAAAGGTTGGATCGAGGGCTGACTCTCAATGGATCGCAGCGAGGGAGCTGCTCTGCCACGTACGAAACCCTGACCCAGAATCAGGTCGTCTGCAAGTCATTTAGCACCGCGTTCTCCACGAACATGCTGTGCGCGAACGGAGAGGGGTGGCCATCGTCCGGCCACGCCCCGGCCCAGTCGCGGGAGGCTCTCCTCGCCGACCGACCCGCGGGTCGGTCGGGTATCGGAGACCGACCGAAGCGATGCGGCGCTACGGTATCGTTACGTCTAGGCGGGATTCTGACTTAGAGGCGTTCAGTCATAATCCCACAGATGGTAGCTTCGCCCCATTGGCTCCTCAGCCAAGCACATACACCAAATGTCTGA